TCCACGAAGAAAAGGATTTTTGAAGTTCGGAATGTGTTATTCGGAATCAGCGTCCAAAGACAAACCAGAATATGTATTAAAATCGAAAAAATAAAATTCACTTGAATTTTGATCTAGCTGAACCTTATATTCTTTGAGAATTTTTTTTTAACCTATTATTTCTATATTACTACACCTAGAATTATTTTTAGCTCAATCTATCCTTTTTACACTAACATATAAAAAATTTTAAGATCGTAATAAAATCATTAACACCTAATATACAGTAAAAGAAATATGGTAACAATTTTTAAAACTTATTTAAGATACAACTTGTGTCTAACAACATCAGATCAATCATACTGTCTATTATTAATTCATTCAGTAGCTGTAAACATCAAATTTACATTGAAATTTGATCAATCACATTTTCACGCCGAAAGTTTACTGCTACTGAAAAAAACCTCTGCAAACCATAAAAATCCTCGTATATAAACTGTATACTTCAAACTTCCTTTTCCTTCGGAAAATGGACAAGTTCTTGGAAATTTTCACAAAAAGAATGGTTAGAATAAAACGGACAATGAGGTGTGATCAGAGTAGTAAGTGCATAAATAGCTGACATTCGTTCTCCATTCTGCTGTGACTCTAATTCAAAAAGCATTTTAACTCATTGTTCCTCTCTCACTCATCATTCTCCATCAGGTGTATATCTTTCTCTCTAAAACTAAAAAACAGAATATTTTGTCTTCATAGGCTATTAGTAAAGAGAGCCCAAATCTTAAAATATCGCTGAAGATTTCTTTTCTTTCGTAAACAAAACTTCCTTTCAGATGTATTAACTGCAGTTATTTCCGACTTCATCTTTTTATTTTAATTATAATTTTCTGTGGAATTTTCGACCAGTAATGGTCATTATCAACACAACAATCTAGAGAATTACACTGAAGAAGTAAAAAATAAACTTATTTTGTTCTTCATTTTCATTTTCATGACTCATTAACTCTGTACTTGATGGGAAAGAATTATCCATTCAATTTTGTTTTCCATTCGTCCACTCTTTAATTTACACTTAAGATCTTATGTGCATCAAAAACTTGACCTTATTCTCCAAAGAGTTTCTATTTAGTAGATTATTTAATCTTCCATCCTTGACCATTCTTGTTAAAATCCTCCTTTCCAATCCATCTGGGAAAACATATAGAGGGACTGATCTATCGATACCATTGAGCGTTGGTGTTTTTAGCTCTAATCAGTAAGATTCTTTTACTAATAGACGATATCTATGTTGTTCGGACGGTAAAATTCGAAAATCATTCCTTGTTATCATATGTCCTGTATTTTTAATTAAAATAAAAAGATGAAGTCGAAAATAGCTGCAGTTAATACATCTGATTGGATTTTGAAATCGTTACCCTTTACCGATATTAAAACTTCCTTTAAAAAGCAGAGTTTTCACTGTACTTGTTATTGAATACTAATAACTTACCTTTTTCTTTTATACATTCCAATGATTTGTCAACAATTTTTGATAAATTATTTGAATGTGCTGAAGAAATAAGAGTAGAAGCAGTAACCAAATTACTCTCTTTATGGTCAACAATTATTGACGATTCTTCATGCGTTTGACAATTAACGTCATCCGTTATTATCAAACTAGTAGGGATTGAGGATGATGGTAAATCGTCAATCTGCTTTTGACAACAATCAAATTCATCACATTTCCTTAATATTCCTTCATCAAATTTTGAAGGGTCGTTCGATTCCTCGTCATGTGAGTTAGACTATAAATAGAAGAAAAATCTTTCACTATTTTCTTTCGTTAAAGTCTGAAACTCTTACTTGTTTACAAAATTCTTGATTATTATTCTGATCTTGTATCGAAAAAGATTGACGTCTACTAAATGGAATGTCTATACAGTAGTGTTTAAAAAATTCTGCTGGATCATCATTTTCATCTGGAGTGAATGAGTTTTCTGGATATTGCACAGTTGTAGTAATCGAATACAAATTCTGTTCTAATGGAATAAACCATAATAGTTCTCTTTTTAATTGTTCACATAGCGGTTTAATATCATTAAAAACACCACGTATTTTTGAATGTTGAGTAGCCCACTGAGTATGTCGTAATATATTGGAGCAAAACACGTAGACCGATTGTGTTTGTACCATTGGATGTATATAAGATATGATTTTTTCACCAAGACGACCCGAGACAATAAAATAAATTAGTTTTTTTTCATTTTCTTTAACACAATTGAGACATTCATCAATATTGCTGAATGTCTGAATACACGTAATCAATGTCTTTAGATGGAGTATTGTATTCAAATTATCATTATTAACAATATCAGTATCTGCATCTAGCCATATCAATAGGAATTCGTCATAAAAATTCAGTTCGGTCTGTGATTTATTCGCATTGTTGTAAAATGATGTGGTTGTTGTAGAACATTCTGATGCCATTAAAAGTGCTATCGCTGAACAAAAAAAAGAAAAAGCTGAGATTTTAATTTCTAGTCAATAGTGACAAATGCTAGTTCTTATACATAGTCAAAGATTATTTCATTTTCAAACGCAGTGTCTGACTCTAGATCGTTTTCGAACAGGAGAAGTCAAGATTTTATAATTCTTCGTGAACAAACGACTACAACGCAATATATACATATATATATATAAGTATAAATAGTTTTTCCGAATCCTAGTCCTAAACGAGAAGTCAGTCTGTTTAACGTGGTTATCAGAGTCTTTTGCTCTTTTATGGTAAAGTTAGGACAACATATTTTTTAACAATAGCATCAAACACATCCATATCGATCGAACCATAGGATTACTTGAACACGGACTAAGCATCGATAAGCCCTCATTTATCACGGCGCGAGCTAGCCAATACTGCGGACAACAGTAAATCTGCATCAATCAAGTGATGAAAGAATATGAAAATCTAAAACCTTTCCTTGCAAAAGACATGATCGTTTTCATCATGGCAGAAAAATGACTATATTATAAGTTGCATCTCACTCCAGTAATGATTTGATCTAAAATACCATTTGTACCCAATTTCAAGATTTAAACGTAGTTATATTCTATCATACTCGACGTGAGCTATCTTTTGAATATAGATTGGTCACTTCCCCAGAATGAGTAAATACGATCATGTCTTTTTCATATCGAGTCATTTTTGGGTTGGACTCAAACTTGAAAACCTGAATACTAAAGATTGGGATTCAGTATACCTTAGAGTCACGCAGTTCTGACACTGTGGTCTCAAACACTATCTATTGTTTTAAATTAAAAGGTGTTTTCAGATTTCTGAGCCTCGAAAAAAGTACAGTTTAATTTCAGCTTCCATCAAAAACTTGAGCATATTCTCATTTTTTGTTGAATACAAAAGAAATTTTTCTATTTGGACAGAATAAAAACTTTTCGAGTTTTAGATGTTGTTCATAAACATAGCTCCTATTGACACTCATATGTAGGTAAAAACAAATCTTCAGTATGAAAATCGTTGAACATTTTCACAAAAGTCTTTTTTTAGGACTCCGATGAATGCATCTGTAAAACCATCAATTGACACCTACCTATCTAAAGCCCAAAATACTACTACCCAATCATCTTTCTCACATTTTAATTCTCGATGAGTAAGAACACAAGCAGGAATACACAAACATAACCATAGCAACTTTATTGATTTTCATTAGAAAAGGCCAATAAATTGCTTTACCTCTTTTCCCGTTCTGATTTCGGTATAGTCCCCGTAAAAAGCAAAGAATGACTCACAGTCGATCAGGTAGCTTTTTCTCTCGAGAAGAAATGAAAAAAATCTCTTGTTTCTTTTTTATATATTGTTACTTACATAATCGTTGAGAATCTGTAGATTCTACAGGAATAACTATTTACCTTACACGTGAGACAGTTAAAAAAATGATTTCTGATTTTTCTATTCATTCATTCTTTCTCTTTTTCTTATATTCATCGTCACTCGTTTCAACATTCGCTCAAATAAGTCATTGATTGAAACGACAAAATTTGATTTTTCATCATCATTCAGTTTTCGTTCACAATGACACTATCCAGTTGTAAAAAGGTATATGACATTTGTGATGGTATTATTCAGATACATGATAGTATTTCTTTACTTTTCTATGCATGAAAAAAGTGATTACGGACCTAAAACGGACTTTTCGAAAAATGTCACCTCTTGATAAAAGACAAATTCAAAAATACTTCCACTAATGCTGGAATGTAGAGCAAACATTTCTGATCAAAATGAGACATCTCCCAGCTTTGGAAGATGCTCTAATCCAAAGTTAAGAGAGTTTAGCTAAAAGCCCTAAAATAGGCATCAGACGCCAGTTTAAATAACTGAGAACAGAATGGGATGAGTAATAAATGTGGAAACAGACTGAACAGATTTTCATAGATCATATAGTGTTAAGAGAGAATCAATGTATAGTTCCTTATCGATACTTATTAGTATGGCTTCTCACAGCCTGAGTTTTGTCTTCCGTTTTTCATTATTACTTCAAATTGATGAGACTGCCCTAGACAAAATTCTTATCAGAATCTTATCAGTGAGAGAGAGAGAGAGAGAGATAAGGATAGAACAGAAAGAAGCAAAGCACAAAAGAACACTACACAGTTGATAGAATCGAACACTTGAACTTTGAATTCAAATGCAAAGAATTTACTTTTGGACTAAATTGTCCAAAAGTAAACTCTGAGGTGTTCTCATCCCCATCCTGTGCATTGCTATAGTGTGTTCTACTCCCGATGCTCAACCCATACAGCTTATATCCTTGATCAGCGACCAAAGCCTGCATACTCTGTGATGAGTTATAGAGAGAATTAAGAGAGACATTACATCACAGTTTCTTATATAAGATTGTTTAAGATTTCCCATCGACAGTTGTAAGTGTCTTATAAGATTTCCATAAGAGGTTCGTAAGAAATTCATAAGAAGTACCAAAAATTCTTATGTTATTCTTATTTACTAGAAGGCAGCTCATGAGTTGGTTTCACTGATTTCTGTTATGATTAAGTTGCTTCTATTGGCTGGCAAGCTTCATAAGAAGTTTTGGTACTTCTTATGAATTTTTTACTGAAAATCTTATAAGACACTTATGACTGCCGATGGGAAATCTTAAACAATCTAACGTCTATATTCAGAATTCTTAAACGTTTTTGGAAAATCTTAAATTATGAAAAATCATCTTTTACCCATTCTTGCTGCTCTATTCATAACAGAAATCCATCGAAGAATATCAAAATGAAAAACTTCAGAGTTATTAACAATAACTTTGTGTAAATGACACCTCCGAAACCACTGGTACCATACTCTGATATATCTGCTGCTGCATTTTGCGATCTTTCGCGTTCCTGATTATTGTACCGTGTATTTCTGTATTGTGTTCAATTTTATGAAGACATTTGTATCTTTGTATTTGCACCCTGTAACAAGGATTTCTAAAAATCTCAGCAATTTTTGTCAAAATCAATAAAATAAAAAAAGCCTACCACATTATGTAGTGCTTGAGAAGTTCTATCTGCTCATGTATTACTCAAATCTTTCCAACGTTTCGGCAAGAAAATAAGAGACAACTGAAAGATTCTCAAACTTATTTTTTACCAAAAGATGCTACAAGTCTTGGCTTTCTGTTAATCGAGACCGGAGGTCTCTACCACTTTCCTATTAAGCGTTAGTTAAAAGGTATTCGTGCTTTCCCCGTTTTGACTAGGAAAACAGTATTAGTTAATTATAAATTAACATATATTGACATTCTTTGACTTTTTTACGTTTCTTGTAAAACTAAGTATATTTAATATAATTGAAAAACATTTTTGGAAAAACCATTTTACATAAAAGGCGAGCTTTCGATACTTCGCAGTATCATCATCATTTATTGTGTAGAATGTAAAGACTGAGCTAACATTTACGTCGGACAAACAGGTAATGAATTAGGCCTTAGAATGAATCAGCATGAGAAGAAAATAGAAAATGACGATTTGTTTGCAAAAATATCTGTACACGTCAGTGAAAACGATCAAACTGTAAATCTGGACGAACCTTGTATACTGACATCTGAAAAAAATGAAATTAAAAGACAAATAATAGAGACACTACTGACGCACGAACAAAAAAGCTAGCCTACAATGATATTTCATTAAACACAGTGATATTGGCGGTTCTAATGAGTGCAAAAATCGGCTCCATCGTTCCAAAAAAGAAAAAACCTGATTAATCTGCAAAATTGTTTCTAAACCTTTTTTAGCGAGAGTCCAAGACTGATTGGTTTTTTCTTTTTCTATATTCGTATAATATACCATTCGATTTTGCTTTGTCCGACGATGAAGAACGTTACATTACTTTGACAAATGGACGTAATGTAAATGAGAAGAATCAATCAATTTTCAGGCCAAAATGATCAATAACGTACACAAAGCTTTTTCAGAGATATCCAGCGGACGTAAGGTTCCGCCAATTCAAAGATCAAGCAAGATTTTACTTTTGCCCCAAATACACATCATTCGACGCAAAATTTCAAGTTGTATACGACTATCATATTTAAAAAATTTACAGTCCAGAATAGAAAAATGTAACAGTCACTCGATTCTATACTACGTTTTTTTTCTATGTTTAAGTTCTTCTAGTATTTTCGTTGTCCCCTGTTTCAACTAGTATATATAATCATCTCTCTTCTGAATTCCCAGTCATACATTTTGAACATAGGTTATCTATCATGCTGATTCTCTTAACAATATTTATTTTCATAATTCTGTCATCTAGCTCGCACACCATGCTTTAGTGATTTCACGCCATAATGTAGTTCATAGTGAATACAAGTGAAAGATCATGGACTGAAGAATGGTTTACTCTTCAAAACGTTTATACTCGTCTAAAATCTGAGCAATGGACTGCGATAAACAGTTTCTGTTTAATTCACTCATTCTGTCATCGTGTTTTGGTCTCATACTTGGTCATAAGTAATAGAGTAATGAATTTATTGCCCTACGTTTAGTGCTTGCAACTACTAAACTTGGTTTAGTGTATTTTTTACATTTCTATTGGTTCCCATTCATTTTGATTAACCATAATACCTATGATAGCTGCTCATCTTCTCATTTGTTTTCTATTATAAGTTTGAGATACTCTGCCTTATTTTGTGTTTTAATCCAGTTTTTCGCGTGATACTTCAATATTGGTTATTTTGCTCCATTTTTGTTATGGTTTCCGAACCTGCAGTTTTGGAGAAAATTTTCACAAATCAAAGTATCTATGCCCAAGGACGTTTAGGCCTCCCAGCGCTTTTGCGAAGTTCAATGAAAAAGTTAAGGTAGAGTCGGAATTTGGATTGGACACCAAAGTAGTCGAATAAGATAGGAATACATACTAATCGACTCAGTTTTTGATCCTGCTGCCGAATATAATATTTTTATTGCATAAAAGTTGACTTTTGATCGAGAAAACTGAGAATTACGGGCAGAATTCCTACTTTTTAGTCTGATTTTCAATACAAATTAGATGTTTCGAAAGGAAAGAAAAAATTTTTATTCCGATATATAACTTTGTTCTACGACGGTTGGAATGGCGCAAGAATCAAGGGATACGTTTTTCTATAGTGGCTGCTTCCGAAAATAACATTCGGTAGGTTCCCCGACCTTGTTGAACTGAAATAGAGCATGTTTATGAAAAAGTGGAGATTTAACGAAAAAACACCTTTTTTCAGTTTTTGATTTTTTTGTCGAAAACGCTCACTGAAAATTTTATAGTCGTTGACAGTCGTATACAACTTGAAATTTTGCGTCGAATGATGTGTATTTGGGGCAAAAGTAAAATCTTGCTTGATCTTTGAATTAGCGGAACCTTACGTCCACTGGATATCTCTGAGATCATTTTGGCCTGAAAATTGATTCTTCTCATTTACATTACGTCCGTTTGTCAAAGTAATGTAACGTTCTTCATCGTCGGACAAAGCAAAATCGAATGGTATATTATACGAATATAGAAAACGAAAAAACCAATCAGTCTTGGACATAAAACGTGAGTCCTGATTGAATAAAATTGAGCGGTCAATCTTTTTAAAAAACAAACTCAAAAAACTTTTTGAGAAACGATCATAGTTTCAAATCAAAAGTTACATGTGGTTAGGTGCGCAATAAAAGTCTCTAGCGGACCTGCTATTCAGCTTTTTGATACTTTCACATTTTTAAATCCGGCAGAGTACTTATATATTTTTTTTCTACTCTAATTTCAAACATCGATTGCCCACATAATTTATCAATTTATTATATTCCAAGAGAAATTCCAGTGCCACATATCCAAATTCCTGATCGAGTTGTCGGATTTAAATGTTTGACGAGAAGGTTGAGTCGAATGAGTAGCTATTGTGTGGAAAAAGATATTATTTTAAAAAATTTTAGTTTAACATATATGGTGATTGAAAATCTGAATAGTGTGTCTTTTGTTACGTAGCTTTTTTGTAAACCTAAATAGAAAGAAATTATGAGCATTCACAGTAGCTTCCTGATTTTGTTGCACAGCCTATAGTGCACCACAAAAGTATAACTTACCACATTTTCTTTGCGTTTTTGTGAAATATGAGGTCTACTTAATATTACATTCTTTTTCTTTTGGAACTCAGCTGTTTTGATTGCATTTTGATTAATTTTTTGTCTTAAATTCATTTTCATATTATTCGCACTTTCAAGTTGACGATCGCAATCTCTTTTGGTGTTTGATTTTTGCTCGATATTTCGTAACTGATCAGACTGTTGCTGTTTCACACTATCGCAAGCACGCTGCTTATCATCGACGTTCTTATTCAGCCGGTCTAGCTCTTTTTCAATGCGTTTAAACTCATTATTTGCTTGGTTAACTTTTTGTTCAGCGATCTGTTTGATATGTTCCTGTCGTTGAACGTCACGATTTAAATCCCGAATTTTTCCTACGACGGAGCGAATTTTGCGTCGATTCTCTGTCAGTGATGCTTTGATTGACTCTAATTGTTGTTGACGATGCTGATGTTCTGCTTTTTTTCCAACTAATTCTTGTTGCTTCTGATCTAATTGATATTGAACACTACTGATTTCTTGTTGTTTATCGTTCAATGTCCGCTTTCGTGCTTCTAGATCTTTCTCGAGACGTTTTTTATCGTTTTCATGCGTCTGCTTCTCTCGTTGAAGCGTACTCAGTGTTGCATCTAATTTTGCACTTTCCTGTTCTAGTTTTAATTTTTGTTGCTGCGAGGAACGCAATAATTTCTGTTGTTCAATCTTATCGTTTTCTAATTCACGGACGGATTTTTCACACATAACAATATTTTCTTGAATGTTTTCAATCTCATTTTCAGCTCGATTCAACTGCCGTTCTTGTTCTTGCAACGCTTGGCGATGTTTCTGGCGATCGGCTTTATTTGCTTGCATTTGTGTTCGCACTTGTTCTTGCTTTGTTGTTTGAATTTGAATTTCTTGTGCTTTCCGCTCACGTTGCTGCTCCGTATCACCATGTTTTTGCGTTAATTGTTCAATGGCTTTTTGCGCCTCAATTTTTTGTTTTACAGTGTCATGTTTTTTCGTTTCTAAATTTTGTAAATCAGTTTTAATGAGTTGCAAACGTTGATTTTGGGTTTCAAGCTTAGTCTGCTCTTGTCTATGCTGTTTCTCTCGATCTTTCAATTCGCGATCGACAGTTTTACATTGATTTGTTACATCGTTTAATCGCTTCTGAGCGTTTTCTACACAGGTTTTTTGCAGTGCAACGCTTTCTTTGGTAGTTGTCACTTTCTGTTTTTGCGCTTGTAATTCTTGCTCTTTTGTTCTTAACGTAGTTCGTTCTTGCTGTAATTGAGTTTCAGCTTGTGTTCGTTTTTGTTGAGCTACTTGATGTTCACGACTTTTCATTTGATGCATTTGCTGACGCTGCTGAAAGATAGTTTGACATTGAGTCATTTTTGCTTGGCATTGCGTAACACGAGCTTGTGCCACGGCTACGGCACTCGGATTTGCCAAGGATGCAGCTGAAGCAGCGATTAATTCAGCCTGAGCAGCTGATAATTCTGCTTGAGCCGCTGTTAAATTCATTTGTGCCGTAGTCTCGTCCATTTTAGCTTGTTGTTCCGCGGCTTTGGCCGCCTGTTCTCTAGACCGACATTCGCGCAGTTTTTGCTCATTTGTCTGAACAATTTGTTGTTGCTTTTGGACTTCTTGTTCAGCTTTTACTTGGTTCTGCTCTTCAGTCTTCAATTCATTTTCAAACTGTTTTAACTTTTCTTGTTCTTGCTTTAATTGAGCTGCACATTGGTCCCGTTCGTTTGTTAAACGAGCTAATTGCTGTTGCAGATTTGTAATTTCATTGTTTAGAGCAGTTATCTGACGCTCTAATTCTGCTTTTCGCTGTTCTTCTTCTCTCAACTCTTTCTGTTTTGTCTGCAACTGCTGATTCATTATCTGTTCTTGCTGCTGTAACCGAGCGTGATTTTGCTTTTCTTGAGTGCATGCAAGTCTAGATGATAAAAACAAGAATTTACGCTATTTTCTGTGTTCAGTCGAAGTCGCAGCTGGAAACTTAACCTAGATTAATATGTGTTGGCCCAGGAGCTCAACAAGAACCGTTTAGACTTGTGTTAGCTCATTCACTATAGCGTACTGCGGCGAAGTAGCAGGACATTTTTCTGTTGCCCATTTTGGTATATTCATCTTTCCTGTTTTCCTCTTACTTTAAAGCGTGCTTATAAATTCCTTGATCCTTTTTGTATACACTAATCTGATTATTTAACCAATTAATCGATTTAATACAGCTCGATTAAAGGTATCTTCCACTCTGATTTTTTAACTTCTCAGGGTCGAAAGATAAATCCAAGGGACTTGAAATTAAAAGACAAAAAAAAAGTGTTTGTGCTCAAAAAATCAAACCGGTATGTTTTTCCTAAGACCTCTCAACTCATTTCTGATAGGGTTTATGGAAAGCATGGTTCTTTACTGCACATGGACCTACGCCAACAAAACCTTATCTGTTAAAAATTCGGTTAAAGTTTTATTGCTGAGGCTTTGTCTTCATTTTAGCAAGAAAATATGAAGAGTCTAACAGATTGCTCGCCCACCCAAGTACTAGAAACAATTTCCAGTGACCGGAAAAAAATCAAAATTAATGAAAGTGGTAAAATATTGCTTCTGTTTTAGACTGAAAATTTATATGCCTAGAACGGAAAGTCGTAAAGAGATTAGGAAAGATCTCATTTTTGAGAATATTTTAGAATATACTTTTGGCTGGACTAAATAAATTTTGAGAAATTTTTATAAACTGAAGATGGGGTTATCCACATGCCTTCGAATATTCTAAGACAAAGAAGTTTCTATCTTTTTTCAGGTCATCTCAAAGGAAACTGGACTCATGTCAGAATTGATAGGCAGATTAAAGTGATTTGGATCAGAGGTGGCTGAGTCCAACTCTGGACTTGAAATTATTTTTGACCGACTTGAACTTGGGGATTTTTTTTATCAGGTTCGTTTGAAGCCCAACGAGTTAGAATCTTTTATATTCACCAATGGAATGAGTATTATCTGATACCTAAGTTATTAATCTTTTTTGTCAAACATGTGTCAGTGTATGAATAAAATGTATTTACCCGTCATATATGATTATGACGTATTGTATAGTGCAGAAACTGCTATGAAGAAGTTCGACTCGAACTTGGACTCCACCTGATAAACAAATTTCTGTTGAACTTATCCACCTCTGGTTTGGACTGAACAAAGGATTTTTGCTGTCAGGCGAGGCTCTAATCACGTTGGGCTGTAGCCCTCCTTTTGTAACAGGCGGTCCAGAAATAATGACACACTTTTGCAACTTATTTCCGTGCACTTAAGAGCCATTGCACGTAAGCCACGACCTATTACAGCGGAGTGGCCTTCAATCGATGTTCTCGAAACTTTTCCAAAGTAGGGGGCTTTTGTAGACCAAACATTTTAAGGAATTTTGGT